CCATCGCTATTGCAGGTCAACAGTTTGGACCTGTCGATGCCACCAGAGCATTTTGACGCCCCAACCTCGGAACACTGTGACGAGGTTACCGACACAGCAGAAGTACCTCCACAAATCTGCGAGGGTTGTCCGGTACAGGGTGAATTGCAAAACATACCATCCAGGGACCAATCTGCTGGATATTCATCACCACAAAAGCACTGATTTCCGTTCTGAGTTCCGGAAAACGCGTAACCCAGACTAGTACAATGTGCAACGCAAATGTCATTTGAAATGCTGGTTCCTGTAACTCCTCCGAAAGACATCGACCGCGTAGAATTACCATCACTAAAGTCTGCAAAACATCCCCAATATTTACCGCCATTACAGTTTGACGTGTCTGGAAATAACCAGATTCCCTGGATGCTACACTTTGCTGTTTGACTACCAGGTCGACCGGAGGGACATGGAATGGTTGCATTTTGCCCAGCATTGGTGGTTGGGAAGCCATTCGATGACGCACAGGTGATTTGGAGGCAGTTGGTGGTATCTGCAGGGGACCACACACCGTTTGTGCATGTGGCTTCTTGAGTACCGGATTGTCCTGCTAAACATGCAGCACTCGCTGTTTGGCCTGATGGTGTTTGTGGAAAAGTGCTTATCGCTGGACAAGGAGATGGTGTTGACAACGGTGACGTGGATGCCATTGTCATGGAGGTCGTGCCATCCGCTGGTGATGTTGTCGTAGACTCTGATGAAGCGGCGGTGGTGGAAGGGAGAGCGGAAGTGGTTGAAGTGGTTGAAGTGGTGCTGGATTTAGTGGAAACAATCGAAGTGCTGCTGCTGGAGGACTAAACAGGATTTTTTTCCAAAAAAATAGAGATTAGGTCAGGTTTGATTCCCAAAAACAAATAAAAATGGCAAATAAGGAAAAAACGTTCCTTTCGAAAACACGCGTTTAAAATGCAAAAAGAAAATAGCTAAAGTAGGAAAAGGAACAAAACAAAAAAAGGAAAAAAAAAACCAAGAAAAGGGAGTGAAAAAAGAAAAAAAGAACAAGAAAAGAAAGCGAAAACCCAGCCTTCAAAATACTCACAGCAGACGTCGAGCTGGTGGACTTGCTGGTAGTTGATGAAGTGATTAATGACGCTGTGATGGAAGGGGGAAAAGTGGAGCTTGTTGGTGATGTGGTTGAAGAAGTCTAAAAAACGCATCAAAGACAAAAAGGTACGAAAAAAAAAATTGATGGTGTTAGCAATCCGGTTATATTTTAGAAATTGAACCCATGCCGCGGTTTTCAAGGAAAGAGTAACAAAAGAGATATGCATCTGTTGGTTAGAGAAAAAGGAAATCGGATATTAAAGTACTCACCAACGAAGTTGAGGTGGAGCTCTGAACGGTGGAGCTAGAGCCAGTTGTTGGCGTGCTGCTAGCAATGGACTTGCTGGTGGTTAAAGAAGAAGCAGTGGTGAATGATGTGGTTGATACATTTGGTGAACTTGATAATGTTTGTGTCGTCGAAGTGGCTGACTCTGTTTCTGATGATGATGAAGATATGGTTGTTGGTGTCGATGTAGGGACATTTGTCTTTATTGATGTTGGTGATGTTGTCAATGTCGATGCCGGTATTGTCGTTAATGCAGGTGCCTTAGTTGTTGCTGTTGTTGTTGCTGATGATGACACGATGCAATACCCATTGTTACATACAGACGGAAATTTGGAACATCGAGTCTCATACCAGAAAAAGTCGTTGCCACACACCAATAAGCGGTAATCGAACGTATCAATAGTGCACTTTGTTGATTCCGGCGTCGGACACTTCAACCAGTATAGACTCACGCCATAATCTTTACCCCCACAAACCTGTGAGGGATTTCCGCTACAAGGTAAATCACACTGCGAACTTGGCATGGATGACGGGACGTGATTACCACATAGGCACGAATTTCCGTAAAGAGTTCCGAAATACGCAAAACCTTTATTGGTGCAAAATGAAAGGCAGACCTCAATCGACATGTCGGGTCCCACATCTGCAGTTTCGGGAAAGAACCAATCCGACACAGCCAAATGATCAATACATCCCAAGTACGTGGCAGGAAGAGGATTGGCATCATTGGTTGCAAAATTGGCCACTTCATTTGTCTTTGCCACTTTCTTGACCCTGTCCGCATTGACGTTGGTGTTGGTGTTTTTGGATGACGACAAGAAAGAGAAAACCGGGGAAGCCACGGAGCCCAATACGAGGGCAGCAAGGATCAACAAGAGAATCCTCATCATATTTGTTAACATAAACGACGAAAGGAAGGCGGAACTGGTGTCAGCTTTTTGATGTTTTCACACTGTGTACTTTGCCAGGTGCAGCAAGCTACGGTAAGGTCGAGTTCTGGTCCGTGATCAACCTGAGTTGAGAACAAAAAAGAGAATGGCCCAGCCGTGTGCAAACAAAGGTTGGTTGTTGTGTGGTGTGAAATTGCAATCATTCATCTACTTATCAACTTACCATGTCTTCATTTGGAAATTTCGTTTAAGTTGGCTAAGCTGGCTAGCCAGTCACAATTTGGCAAGTCGTTGTCTCTAGATCTCTTGGATCCACTTCTAATCTTACTGAAGACACAGTACTTCATCGGTTTGTTTCTTTCCTTCACAACAACGAGAGAGCCATGGTTGGCGTTCCTTCCCTCATCACAGTCGTGATCGCCACCCTCACTGTCGTATTAACTGTCAATGTCGTAAAGGCAGAATCAGTCGGTAAGCAGACCATCGGTGGTTTTTGAATGTATGTAAATGAAGAGTAGAACGACGTCTGTGCCGCTACATTTGGCTTCTGATACACCCCCACTTCTTTTTCAGGCACCGTCAGTCTACCTGTCTCCTCCACTACTGACTCGAGCAACGTGAGTAGCGAATCATTCGGCACCAGTTCGTCAATAAAAAGAAGCCGAAGCAAACCTGCCACATCGATCTACACCCCGTTCACACAAAGTTATGCCAGCACTAAAAATCAAACAACAGTCGTCTCTAGTAGCAGTTCAGCTTCACCATCCCTCATCCCTTTGCGAACAACTAGAAGCAAGCCAGTCACATCCATCTACACTCCCATGACTCCAACAAAATATAGCAGCACTAAAATCCATCCGACTTTTGGAACTCCTCCCAGCAACTACACGATCACACATAGTACTATCAAAACGTCCAAAATGAAACCAACTAATACCATTACGAGTAGTTTTTCAGCTAGTTCAAGTCAACTGCAATCACAACCGGGGGCCACTTTCTACACCGTTTACTCCACGACCCCAAGCGCTGGCAACTCAGGAACCTTCTACACTGTTTACTCCACAACTTTCTCAGAAACCACACCTACAAACTGGAACATTCTCAAACATAATAAACAAGGACAGGGAGAACTTTAGGAAAAGGGAATTATCAATCAGAGTTTATTTAATGATCAGTCAAATTGAGATGATCCGTTCCTTTCTGGTTCAAGCAAGAAGTTGAATTTAAGATAGTGGGTGTATGTTATGTGTGTTGGTTGTTGTGAATCGGACTTTTATTCGCGTTTTGTTTTGTTTGTTTTAAGAAAAGCCAAAAAGCGAGTTTACTATTTGGCTGTATTTGTTCATATTTGTATACTCTTTGTCTTTTCACGCTCTCTTTTTCTTTTTTTATTACTCTGTTCGTTTTGTTCTTCCTTATAAATGCTTTGTTTAAAATATGTCAAAAAGACAATCTTGTTTTCAAATACATGTATGGTATACGTTCTGTTCTGTTTCTTGGTGAGGTTGTTCTCGAACCTCATCACCAATGCCATCACATCCCACCACCGCAGGTTATCGGACGAATTGATAAATCAATTTGAAGGTGTTCAATGTCGATTGTTAGGTTTAGTCTTGTGAAGCAATCTTTAAAAAAAAGATAATTGAAAGCTTTGATGTGAAGTCTTAATTACTTTTTGTGCTGGGCTACCCTGACCGGGTCTATTTATATTTCAACAGAAACTTTATAAATATCAAAACTACTCAAAACAATATGCAGAATGAATATCCATGTGTAAACTGACACTCTCTATGTTATAAGTCGTTCTTCACTCTTTCATAAGAGTTTGATTTCCAATCTCCATTTCGAAATCAATCATAACTGAGTAAATTACGAGTGATAGAATCAAATTTATAGCTGAATAATATCTCAAAAACAACCCAAACACCAAATACATAAATATCTATTACAATACTGAAATCCACAAACGCAATGTTTTATCAATGGCGATCCACCGTGTTTAGATGATGGTCATGAATAAATACAGGCATTACGGGTAATGAGAAGAGATCGTGTGAAGGTTTTGGTAACAAACAAGTGCCATGACGGATAAACATATGATGAAGGAAAAGAGTTTGATTAAAGGGGCAAGAACAAAAAAAAGGGGAAAAAACGGAGTTGGAAGTTTTGGAGCGGGCGGATCGCAGGAGGCGGATATCAGATGTAAAGTACACAGTGCAAGCATACCTCTCAAAACCAGGGAATGGAAGTTACCAGAAATCCGATTCCAACCGCAGCAGTATTAGATTTGATGTTCAGAAAAAAAAAAGGGTGCATATGTTAAAAAAATGTGGATATTATTGCAAGCAATCAAGCATTCCGCTCATTCCCCCTGATGTGGAGCGTGTGCAGACCTGCCTCACACCGAGAGTTCTTTGCAGAAGGGGGACACCAATGAAGTGTGTAAAGGACCTAATCAACACTTTTTGTCAAGAGAGGATTTCGGAAGGATGGGGAGGGAAAACGAGAAAAAAGGAAAGAATATTTAGCTTCTGGGGATATTTTGCTTTTTGACAGGTGGGGTTGGAAAAACTTGTTCCGCTCAAAACACCTATCCCCGCTTGTTTCTTGATCTAGACCGTCGGGTGGGCGTGATATGATGTGACAAGAAAGTGGGTCCCAAAAAGGAAGTAAGTAGAACCCCAGCAGGGTCCCCAAAAACGCATTCGGCCACCAAGCAATACAAAACGAATACTTCGGGTTTACGACATCGGCAAGATTTGAACTTGCGCGTGGAAACCACAACAGATTTCAAGTCTGTCGCCTTGGGCCGCTTGGCCACGATGTCTTGATAGGATGAAGGGAAATCTGGAACCTCAGATTCACTCCAAAGTCGTCCCATTTGCAAAGTTGACATGTGAACAACCCGAATGGTTTCGAGAATTTTCACAACTTGAACGAAATACTCTATATAAGTTAACGTATTTGTAAAATTGTGATATTAATATATGTGATCAACGCGTCATAAGAATGAATCATGGCTCATTGGGAGATGTGCACAAAATTGTAAATCTCAATTAGAACAATCTTTGATGAAGAAATGACTTAATTTGCAGTTGCAAAGACTTTCTTTGTTCGTTCTATATATAGAGGTATCAAGAATTATACATACTATACCCACGCAACGAATTGATATCAATTCTTTGAATTCAATTTATGTATAGGGATTTTTACCAACATGAATCGCTTGAACAGTAAAGTCATGAATTAAACTAAATTTAATCAAAAATTGTTCTACTTGGGATCTACATAGATTTTCGTTATTCCTTCTAGCAACGTTTCCCAAATAAATTACCCACACGATAAAAATATCTAGCTCATTCGATCAGTCCTGTAATATAAAAATTCCTCATCCAATCAACACAACCTCCAACCCGGCCCCAGCCATTGCAACATGAACTTTCATCCCATCATCATTCCCCCCCTCTTCATTCTCACCAGCCACATAAACATCCATCTTTGCAATATCACAAACGTCCATCATCCAAGCATTTACACAAGACAAGTTGATAGATCCAGTTTGTTTATATTTTTTTGATTCCGTTGCGCTATTGTCATAGAATGTTGTGAAACCAAGGAATTTTGATCCACGAGTAGTATCATTAGGTGGAGGTTGTTGGTTTTTCGATAGTGCTTTTACATTCCAAATCTTTAACCTTTGGTCAACACTGATGCTAATAAATGTTTGATCGGTGATCCATTTGATGCCTATTTAATAGTTTAAAAAGTTTGGGATTACAACGAGCGTCAATAGATTTAAGAATATGTACGCTATCCTTTACCTGTAGCAATGGAATCGTGCGCCATTGTGTTAATTACGCTATTAATCGAGTTGCGGATAACCTCGCCGCTATTCGAAAACTGTACACTGAATACCGAAATCGCGTTATCTTCACCGCCGCTAGCAATCCATAAAACTCCGGCCGCATCTTTGTTTTTGGCGATACCAAAAGAAAAAAAAAAAAGCGAAGAAACTATGATTAACATGAAACCGGAGCGCTCAGAACGCCCAAGGGCAAAGGGAAAAGACAAAATACGCGCAATCATAACAAGAAAACGAAATTCACCTATTCTAAAATCCAAAGCATTAATCCCAGATTGATGTCCAGTAAACGACAACATCGGTAACCCCATATCAACACCCTTCCTATCCAAATCCACCTCCACCAATCGTGTAACATCCCATAATGCCACATTTCCATCAGTACCAGAAGAGGCAACAAGAAACCTTCCATCCTGTCGATGTTCCTTTAGTATTGTAATTCCAGCCACAGAAACAACACACCGGTTATGAAAGTGGGAGAATCCAAGATGGTGAAAGGTTTGCGGGTTTGTTTGGAATGACCAAATTCGGATGGTTGCGTCGGAGTATGCGGCGGCCAGGAATATTGTTGTGGGATTTGTGGAAGGTGGTTCGATTGTAGAGATTATTGAGATGTCCATGATTCTGCATTCAGGGACATCACTATTTGGAATTGATTGTGAAGAATGTAAACGAAAAAAAATGTCAATCAGGCGAGATAAATAAACCATACTCAATTTTTAACGAATGTTACCTTACGACAGGTGCACAGGCAACTTCAACACATTTCAAATCCTCAATTCCATGAACCTTCCAACATCGTAAATCTTCAGAACCACCCGCCGTGAATAAATAAGTTCCATGTCTTGTTTTACATGAATCAATAGATCGTATGACCGAACGATGCTTTTTGATATAGAGGAATGAATTTGTTGATTGGATTTGTTGGTTGATGTTATCTGAATATGAACAATACAGAATTTAGTTTAAGGTCTATAAACACGACACAGTACTCGAAGGTTTGATAATACTTACAATGATGAAATATAATCATACTATCTTCACCACCGGTTACTAAAACTCGTTGTGATTTATCAGGAGTGTCAAAGTCTTGAATGACAAATTTAATTAAATATGTTAATCAATCAACGCTTTCAATTATGCATTCAAAGATTAATATCATACCTAAAAAATGTACAGCCTTTGAATCCATCCCATGGTATGCTTTCTACAAAGACAAATTCTTAAGTCCGTCTGTAGAAATAGCCGGTTCATTTACATTCCCTTACCTGCAACTTCACTCCAACAAATTCCGAAGAAGTTGAACTCGTAGGAGCAACCAATCGAAGTTCTTCTTTTCGTCTATACACAAAGGCAGACCCATGTAATGACTTTTTATTAACAACAAAACACCAACGGCGATGCCCACCTCCACAGTTGTAAGACCACATCTATTCAGTAGAACGTTTCTATGAGCGCACAACATAATAAAAACCGTTTTTTAACCATACCTCAAAATTCGTTAAAACATCAAACACGAAAAACTTCTTTCCAAAAAACCCAGATGCCAATATCCCATTTTCAGCAAAATGAAGCTATATACATGCATTTTAATACTCTTTGTTAAGCATTTCAAAAAAAAAACAAATAGACACTTACCATCTCCACCCACCCCTTCGTAAGGCAAACCTGTTTCACTAATTCATATTTCCAAACCTCTCCTTCATCACCCTGGCTACCATCATCCTTCCAAATCTCAAACTGACGAACCCATCCATCTCTTCCACTACTCCACAACGTTATAGTATCTCCTGCACTACCATTTAAAATATGAATAGAAGTAACTTGATCGTCACCATGAGCGTTTTTGATTTCACATACAGGATTGATATTTGAAATTTGATTGGTGTTGGTGTCAATGGAAAAATATGTTGAAGAGATGTTGTAGATTGCGATATGACCATCTCGTGTAGCAGCAATTAATAGTCTCAGTTCAGGATTCCATACTACCGACGAAACAATGCAGTTTGGTAAATGAGGCTTTATTCGACAAGTTGAGATTGAGTTTGATGTTGGGGTTATTGATATCAACTGAATTGTGATAACCTTCTCGGTGTCAGAATATGAGACAATGTCAATCTTGTCTGGTAAAGAATCTTCGTTATCCGGTATAACATAAATAGTATCAACTTTTGTCGAGTGGGGTTTGAGATGAAGTGGCTATAATTATTACCAAAAAAAAAAAGCAAATAAGCCGTCAGTATATTTAATCAAAGATTAAAAGCTATCCTTACCGAAAACAGTCCGGAGCTACTTAAAACTACGATATCTCCTTTCAATCCACCACAAGCTACTACTGAACCATTAGTGGAGCTTGCAACAATACAATCGCGTCCAAGACAGTCGGTTTCGAGATGTAATTCTTTGATCGAATTTCCAGTTTCATTGATAAACAGGACTCGTCTATTGTTATAGCAAAGCGGTCATCACCAATGTAAATAATAAATGTTTAGAATCACGACTCGAGTTCAGAAACATGAGAAAAGCTTGGTAACTTAAAACACGTAAACTCACCCAAGATCTGTCACTGCAATAAAAGAAGATCTAGAATTTCCTAACGAACAGATACTCTTGTATACTTCCTTCGATGAAGGTTTCTCCACCAAGATACCACAATCATCGGTGTTTGCATCTAAATACCAAATTAGTAAAAAGAGATCAGCCATAGCCGAGAAAAATGCACTCGGCCACTTCAAACACACGAACATACTTGATACCAAGTTTCTATAAACCGATGCTAAATTCCACAGCATAATCCCAGAATCACCACCACCCGTTGCCTGCATACAAAAACGCGATCTCAATTAGCAAAATACAAAATTGCAAAAAGTCAAAAAGTAATGATATGCTTCGTTGCTTACCACCAACCCTCGATCCAAACATCCAGCAATACTCCAAACATTTTTCCCAGAATGACCTTCCCAACATGTTATACATTGTTCTTTTGTGTAATCCCAAACGCGTGCAGTGCAGTCCTGTAATTATTGTTAACTGATCCTTGTTCCCCTCCGAAATGTAATAAATTACCTCTGAAATACTAATAACAAGATCATCCATAAATATACAATCCCAAACTCGTGATGTATGTCCAAATAATAGTTTTGGCCTAACAAAATAAAGTAATGTTAACGAACATGTACGCAACGAAAGCAAACTAATATATACTTCACCACAAAACAATTATTACCTCTTCTCCGCATTCACCATATCCCAAACACGAATCATCCGATCTTCAGAACATGAAGCCAACATTGTTAACGCCTTATTAAAACATAATCCAAATATCGCACCCTACCAAAGAATACATCAACACGTCAATCTATATCCTTCAATACAAACAAACGAAAAAGCTTAAAAACACAAACCTCATGACCAACCAACCTCCTCTCAACATTCACAACAAGCTCCTCCTCCTCCTTATTACCATCCCACCTTACCCTCCAAACAACAACCTCCCCAAACGCAGTCCCAATCGCAACAACCAACTTCCCATACTTCGCAATCCGACCGTTGCTACTACAAGACTGAAATCTAGCAGAATAAAGTAAACACGATGCGATATTTTTATCATAAAATCGTTTTGAGAGAGTCCATTTGGTTCTTTCATTGTCGTTTGATGGTGATGATGATGGGTTCCATAGTTCGATTTGGTTGTGGGATAGGCAGAGGGCGAGAGATAGTAGTGAAACGTTTTCATCATTATCTTGAATCCATATCACATCCTGAATCCAATCCGAAACATGGACAATAGAAGAGATATTAAATTCCACATTCCAATGCAGATCATTAGTATCTCGTCTAACAAAGATATCAACAACGCTAAACAATCGTCCTCCAAATACGGCAATTGTATGTTTAGTGAGATTTGGATTGTTATTTACTATGGTTACCGGAGCTACATTACATAGGGAATGTTAGTTTCAAGG